TCCAGGAGGGTCCAGGAGGGACCGGTGGGTCCAGGAGGGTCCAGGAGGGTCCAGGAGGGTCCGGTGGGTCCGGTGGGTCCATGAGGGTCCAGGAGGGCCCGGTGGGTCCAGGAGGGTCCAGGAGGGCCCGGTGTGTCCAGGAGGGTCCAGGAGGGTCCAGGAGGGTCCGGTGGGTCCGGTGGGTCCATGAGGGTCCAGGAGGGCCCGGTGGGTCCAGGAGGGTCCAGGAGGGTCCGGTGGGTCCAGGAGGGTCCGGTGGGTCCAGGAGGGTCCGGTGGGTCCAGGAGGGTCCAGGAGGGTCCAGGAGGGTCCGGTGGGTCCGGGAGGGCCCGGTGGGTCCAGGAGGGTCCAGGAGGGTCCGGTGGGTCCAGGAGAGTCCAGGAGGGTCCTGTGGGTCCAGGAGGGTCCAGGAGGGTCCGGTGGGTCCAGGAGAGTCCAGGAGGGTCCTGTGGGTCCAGGAGGGTCCAGGAGGGTCCGGTGGGTCCAGGAGAGTCCAGGAGGGTCCTGTGGGTCCAGGAGGATCCAGGAGGGTCCGGTGGGTCCAGGAGGGTCCAGGAGGGTCCAGGGGGACCGGTGGGTCCAGGAGGGTCCAGGAGGGCCCGGTGGGTCCAGGAGGGTCCAGGAGGGCCCGGTGTGTCCAGGAGGGTCCAGGAGGGTCCAGGAGGGTCCGGTGGGTCCGGTGGGTCCGGTGGGTCCATGAGGGTCCAGGAGGGCCCGGTGGGTCCAGGAGGGTCCAGGAGGGTCCGGTGGGTCCAGGAGGGTCCGGTGGGTCCAGGAGGGTCCAGGAGGGTCCAGGAGGGTCCAGGAGACCGGTGGGTCCAGGAGGGTCCAGGAGGGCCCGGTGTGTCCAGGAGGGTCCAGGAGGGTCCAGGAGGGTCCGGTGGGTCCATGAGGGTCCAGGAGGGCCCGGTGGGTCCAGGGGGTCCAGGAGGGTCCGGTGGGTCCAGGATCCGGTGGGTCCAGGAGGGTCCAGGAGGGTCCAGGAGGGTCCGGTGGGTCCGGGAGGGCCCGGTGGGTCCAGGAGGGTCCGGTGGGTCCAGGAGGGTCCGGTGGGCCAGGTGGGTCCAGGAGGGCCCGGTGGGTCCAGGTGGGTCCGGTGGGTCCAGGAGGGCCCGGTGGGTCCAGGAGGGTCCGGTGAGTCCAGGAGGGTCCGGTGGGTCCAGGAGGGTCCAGGAGGGTCCGGTGGGTCCAGGTGGGCCCAGGAGGGTCCAGGAGGGCCCGGTGGGTCCAGGAGGGTCCGGTGAGTCCAGGAGGGTCCGGTGGGTCCAGGTGGGTCCAGGAGGGTCCGGTGGGTCCGGTGGGTCCAGGAGGGCCCGGTGGGGCCGGCATCGGTTCAGCAGGTCAATGTTCTCCTTCTAATGAGCGTCTTTGGGTCCAGGTGTGTGGAACCAGGGAGAGACTGAACCGTGCAGGATGCCGGGCCTCCAGGACCCACTTTGGGCCCCACTGCATTAGACTGGAGAGACTGTAGTGTTGCCTTCACCATCACTGACTCAATGCAAGTGTGACGACACAACATCATGGCTGTTAAAGGTCAGAGTTCACCCTTTTCAACACTAACAGTGTAATGTTGAGCATCCGGGTTCTGGACCAAGTTCTGGAAGAATCTCACCGACGCCATTTTCTTTTGCTCTTTCTGCATTTGATCAATGCACAGCTGGTAGATTCTTAGTAGCTTCTTACACAATATTGCAGCATCTTATTGGTTTCATGTTTTACCCAATAATAACAGATATACTGTCTCCAGATTCTGTCAGTGAGCTTCTGGTTTCCTATAAATATCATCTCAACATTTGGGACATGGTATTTATTCTCTGCTCTCAGATGTTGAGGCAACATTTCAGGAGCAGTTTCAGGATTTTGATGTTGATCTGATGCCCACAGATTCAGTTGTTGGACTTTGTGTCCTGGGCTGCACAGAGACGCAGCAGGTAGCAGCAAGAAGGTTCTGGGTTCTGGGTTCGATTCCCGGCCCGGAGTCTTTCTGCACGGTTCTGCCTGTTCTCCCTGTGGCTGGTGGTTCTCTCTCCAGGTTCTCCAGGTCCTCCAGGTTCTCCAGGTTCTCCAGGTCCTCCAGGTTTTCCAGGTCCTCCAGGTTCTCCAGGTTCTCCAGGTCCTCCAGGTCCTCCAGGTTCTCCAGGTTCTCCAGGTTCCTCCCACCATTCAAAACCATGACAGTTGGGTTAATTGGTCTCTCTAAACTCTCCACAGGAGTGTGTGTGTGTGTGTGGGTGCGTGTGTGTGTGTGTGTGTGTGTATGTGTGTGTGTGTGTGTGTGTATGTGTGTGTGTGTGTGTGTGTGTGTGTGTGCGTGTATGTGTGTGTGTGTGTTGTGTGTGTGTGTGTGTGCGTGCGTGTGTGTGTGTGTGTGTGTATGTGTGTGTGTGTGGGTGCGTGTGTGCGTGTGTGTGTGTGTGTGTGTGTGTGGGTGTGTGTGTGTGTGTGTGTGTGGGTGTGTGTGTGCGTGTGTGTGTGTATGTGTGTGTGTGTGTGTGTGTGTGTGGTGTGTGTGTGTGTGTGTGTGTGCGTGTGTGTGTGTGTGTGTGTGTGTGTGTGTGTGTGTGTGTGTGTGTGTGTGTGTGTGTGTGTGTGTGTGTGCGTGCGTGTGTGTGTGTGTGTTGCCCTGCGACAGACTGGCTACCTGTCCAGGTGCCTCTCGCCATTTGACCCCACTGGGATCAGGGTGAATGAAAATGTATGGCTGGTTTATAAATGACATAAATTCCTGATTTGCAGTAACATGCTCTACCTTCACGCATCACACAGGCACCAAAGAGAGAAACCTGGAAATGTCTAATGAGTATAAACAGATCAAGTGTTTATTAGATTGCTGTGAAAAGTGAATATTTGTGCTGATTGTCCCTCAGATGGCCTCAGTTCTTGGCTTGGCTTTGCTCCTCTGTCTGAGCTGCGTTCTCTGGACCGGAACCGATGTGAGTCTGAAAAACAGAAAAACTGTTTGTGAAACTGCAGTGATTAGAAGAGACAGACAGACAGAATAATGTTTGAGTCACATGGAACCAAAACGCGTTTCACTGTATTTACAAATACATCTAAAAATCTGAAAATGACATCAGATGAATAATAAAACAGATATTTTAATCAGAAATGTCAGGCTTCATAGAAGTCTGTTCATTTCTCTGCTCTCAGCAGCTGGTCTGGGCTCCTTTTGCATGAATTCCTGCATTAATGCAGCGTAGCACGGAGAACCTCAGCAGAGGTTCTGTGTAGAACCGGATGATGTAGAACTGGATGATGTAGAACCGGATGATGTAGAACTGAATGATGTAGAACCGGATAATGTAGAACCGGATGATGTAGAACCGGATGATGTAGAACTGGATGATATAGAACTGAATGATGTAGAACCGGATGATGTAGAACTGAATGATGTAGAACCGGATGATGTAGAACCGGATGATGTAGAACCGGATAATGTAGAACCGGATGATGTAGAACCGGATGATGTAGAACCGGATGATGTAGAACTGGATGATGTAGAACTGAATGATGTAGAACCGGATGATGTAGAACTGAATGATGTAGAACCGGATGATGTAGAACCGGATGATGTAGAACTGAATGATGTAGAACCGGATAATGTAGAACCGGATGATGTAGAACCGGATGATGTAGAACCGGATAATGTAGAACCGGATGATGTAGAACCGGATGATGTAGAACTGAATGATGTAGAACCGGATGATGTAGAACTGGATGATGTAGAACTGGATGATATAGAACCGGATGATGTAGAACCGGATGATGTAGAACTGAATGATGTAGAACCGGATGATGTAGAACTGAATGATGTAGAATCGGATAATGTAGAACCGGATGATGTAGAACCGGATGATGTAGAACTGAATGATGTAGAACCGGATGATGTAGAACTGAATGATGTAGAACCGGATAATGTAGAACTGGATGATGTAGAACTGGATGATATAGAACCGGATGATGTAGAACCGGGTTGCGTCTCCATCTTCCTTGTTCTAGTCAGAATTTCAGCAGCAGGTTCTGGACCGTTGGTTCAAGAATGACCCAAACATAACATAACCCACAGATGACTGATGGAGATAGAAACTGTAAAATATCCATCCATCCATCCATCCATCCATCCATCCATCCATCCATCCATCCATCCATCCATCCATCCATCCATCCAAACCATCCATCCATCCATCCATCCATCCCATCCATCCATCCATCCATCCCATCCATCCATCCATCCATCCATCCATCCATCCATCCATCCATCCATCCATCCATCCCATCCATCCATCCATCCATCCATCCATCCATCCATCCACCATCCAACCATCCATCCATGGTTACCACAGACTGCCCTGTCAGTCTTTAACAACATTTCCATAAATACAGACTGTGGAGTATTACACAGAGGGTAATTACAGAACAAGACCCAGCTGGGAACAATCGACGGGGAGACAGGACAACATGGAGAACTCAAACTCAGAAACTCAAAATAAACATCAAATCAAAGACAGATTGATGATTATGAAGAATTGAAGCACATCAAGAACAAAATCTGCCACTACAATAGCAGATAGTAATGGATTTATTGAATGCAGAATTAACCCAAAATACACATTTCCAACCATTCTTGGCTAAAAATGTCATAATCATATCTGTCATTTCTATAAATGAAATGAAACCTTAAACTTTGAAATAAACAGTGAAAGTTGATAATATAATGTGTAAATCTGACAGCAGATTCATTTATAACTTATTTTGTTCCATATTTTATTGATATTTATACAGAACAAAAATGCCAGCAGGTCAAAATTAAACATAGAACATTTTGCAGTAACTTTGCGTGTAAAACAGTTACAACATGAGACTTCAACCAACAGCAGCTTGTTGACTGTGGGAGTTTCATCATGTTAGCTAATACTTTTGTATTTGTACATGTTCATGAAATGTAGACTGTGGAAATATTAATTATTTGCCCTATCAGTGATGACAGATGATGGTCACACACCCAGTGAGGGTATTTAAAGTCTGCACTTCCATCCCTGATCATCCTGGTTCCAGGTCCTGCTGCTGAGACGACTTCACTGCTCACAACCCAAAGAACGGTAACGTTGAGCTGCTCTTCTTTATCGCTTTGCTTTTAAAATTCAAGTAGATCTTTTGTCATATCATCAGATACTGACTACGACCAACAATGTCTCGGGACTCGCGCTCGTCTTTAGCAACAATGCAGTGATTGGTCAGTCAGGGAGTTTCTTCATTTGTCTCAGAAAAGACCAAAAATCTGAGCAAACATGAAAATATGTTTCTATAGATGTGAGGACTTTTTTCAGGGTGGTTGATGCTGCATCCTAATGGGGTTCTATTTACCTAGATATGTAGGTGGGCTTTCTCTCCTTGCTGTTAAATAAAGGTGGACCAAAAACAATCTGTTTGCTTTCATTTGAAATGTTTTTACAGACATTTTTCCAACATGATTTAATATCTGGAGTTTTGACTTCAGCAGGTCAGAAACATAGAAAAGCAAGGCATCAGCATAACTTGGTGATGACTTGTGATCAGAAATAAATTTCTACAAAAGTCCAGCATCTCCCTGCTGCTACGGTTCACCGGGTTTCAGTTGCTAAGACAAATAGGAGGTCATCTAAAGGTCAGCTCAGCCTCGTTCCGCTGTACTGCCTAAATATTCAGAGTCTCGGCCCACGGCTAAGAAAAGACCTTCAGCTCACTTAGTTTGTTTGTTTGATGCCTTTTTGTCCTTTTGTTGTCAGGAAGTTTCAGCTTCAGCCTGTTTTCCTCCTGTAGCTCCGAATTGTAGCTTTAAGCATCTCAGAGTAGCTAACAACGTTAGCACTGGACTCAAGGTCACTGACGCTCTTGTCCTGACACCTTCAGCTGAAGAGTCCAAGGTCACAAAGAAATACTTGGAAGTCGACTGCAAGATGTTCCTAAACTTTCTCTAAATATCTCAGGTACATTGGCAGCATGCTTAGCAGTCAGTGTTCCAGCTGCCTCATTAGCCTCGTTAGCCTCGTTAGCTGTGCTCTGCTGGCTGGAGCTTCCTGCTGCAGTTGATGGATTTGAACATAAGTCATCAAACCTTAGTGCTTCCTCAGGTTTGATAAGAACAAGTGTAAACCATGGCTAGTTAGTCATGGTTGGTGTGAATACATATGACCGCTTTGTAAATTCATATTCCTGAAAAAGTGAATATTTGTGCTGATTGTCCCTCAGATGGCCTCAGTTCTCTACTTGGCGTTGCTCCTCTCTCTGAGCTGCGTTCTCTGGAGCGGAGCCGATGTGAGTCTGCCTTCTTCTTTTCTCAAGTGGAAAACATTATAAAATATTATTGAGGAAATGTTTAGAGTGAAGCTGAGTCACAGAATGAAGAGTTACTGTATTAAACATTTAAAATAAAGTTATTGTGAAAAGTTCAGTATTTATGTCAGACATTCAAACTTATTATATTATATATATAGATTTTCTTACACATACAGTCAAATATTACATCTTGCATTTGATAATTGCGACTCACAGAGAATGAAAACCCAAAATTTAGTGTTTCCAAAAAGTTGAATATTACATTTGATTGATGATAAAAGATTCTGTTCATTACTGTAAGGGCAACCTGCTGCCCTGCAGGTGGCGCTCCACCAGGTGAGTCTAATCAGGTCAGTCAGCAGCTGGATGATAAAACAGCTAATTGGTTGCTGGCAGGTGAACAGCGAGCAGGACTGACAGACAGTTACATACATATAGGCACTGCAACTGTGAGTTAAAGGTCTTTAAACTTAAAAGACCTTCACAAAGCTCACTATTTGGACTATTAAAACTCCCTCTGGAACTTTTTGTTTAAAGTTGAAAAAACACATGAAATATTGTTAAAATGTACAGAATATTAAAATTGTGTAGTTAAAAATTATCTACCAATTAATTGTACTCACCTCTAAATAAATACTTTGTACCTTTAAACTTGACAGTTTCTAAGCTCTCAGCACCCGGTCTGGGCTCCTTTTGCTTGAATTCCTGAACTATTGCATAGGGACTGTTTTTCTTTCACTCAACCTTTTATGAATATGTTTGGTTACAGCACTTTAAAATTGATCTGATGTAATAAAAATTTCTGAAACGTTTGGGTTCTGATGCTCTGTGAGAAGTTTCTCATTTGATATGGATAAACAGATACAGGACTTTATATATTTATAAAAATAGGGTTAGGATTAGGGTTAGGTTAGGGTTAGGGTAAGGCAGACCGTAGGGTTTGGGTCTGCCCTATAATTTTTTTCTTAAATTTCTACAAGTTAATTGTAGGATAAAAACATTGATGAAACTCAGCTAGATTAGCAGTTTTGAGTGACATACGGTTTTATTAATCTCTATGTTCTCTCTATTCACAGGCTGGAATTGGTAAGTATTTCCATCTGACGGAAAGGAAGCTGACAGTTTTGTTACATTTTGACTTCATGATGGATTGTTGATTAATTACACAGAAGTCTAAATGTGATACTCATCAACAACATAGCTGCTTTAATACATTGTCATTCATTTATGAAGAACAAGGATTCTGCTGCTCGTCTCTGTTCCATTTGATAAGATATAATTTCTTCAAATTCATTTTGATAATAAATATTGTTTAGCTTTTATTTAGGATCTGTTGCACTTCTTTGCATTTCCCAGCTCGTTCATGCCCACGTGGTTGGAATAATTATGGAAATCGCTGTTTCATCTTCCAGAATAACCAAACTGACTGGGCTACTGCTGAGGTACAGTAAAAAAATCACTGCTTAAGGCAAAAAACAGTTAATTTATGCTAGTTGTAAATCTGCCACTTTATTTATTTAACTTTTTAATTAATCTCTGCCCTGTCTGACCAGACATTTCTTTTATAAATAATCAGTTTGTAATTTCCTTAATGTTTTTGAGAGCTTAATCTGGAATCTAGAATTTCCTTCTGAATGCTTTTGTTTAATTTGAATGTACCATAATTCACAACAACTTTCACTTCATGACACTATTAAATAATCAATTCAGCTCAATAATAAGCATTTCAATAAATCCTAGTGATACATCAGGACGATCAGTTGTGTTTTCTTGTTAACTTTACAGTAATCCTTCATATCTAACATGCATGTAGCGACAGTGGAAAGGAAAACTTCCCTTTAACAAGAAGAAGCCTGTTGAGGGTCCAGGTTCTCCCCTAACCCCCCAAATCTTGGAAAAGTCTAGAATTGTACTCCCCCCAAAGTATCATTGAATAAATGTTGCATTTAAACAATATGAAAAGGCAAGAGAAACAAAGAATTAAGTAAATCTGTCTCATCTAAGACAAAAATAAGAAGGAATTTTTAGGCCCCCACCATTATTAGAACAATGGTTCAGTCCAAAGTGTAGGAGGAGCAAAAGCTGAACAGTGCTAAACATAAAACCCTCCAGTAAGTAACTTAAAGCAAAAGATGTAAACTTTGTATTTATTTTCACTGCTTAATAGAGTGAAATATTATCAATAAAAATCAGACTGCAGTTTGTTGTTTCATCACTTTGACTGAATCTTGTTATGGTTTGGAAATCAAAACTAGCAAATCTGTGGTTTAGAAACTTTGAGACGTTTTTAAACCACATTTACATGAGATTTCTTTTCCGACCCCCTAAAATTGGTCTTAAGAAAACTTCCTGTTTATTTTTCCCTCCAATAATTTGCTGGGATTTACGCCCTTGCTTGCAACCTGTTGTGATCCAGCAGCACAAAAAATCAGGACTGTAAAGACAATACAGAGAAAAGAAACGACTCATTTTCCAGACGTTGTTCAATGAAACGAGTTTCAGAGCAACAAAATGTGCTGCTAGCCATCAAGTGTCGCTACAAGTCTGTCTTCAGAAGAGTCGAACAAACTTTAACAATTAAATCAGATTTTTTCTTTTTTATTAACTTAATTTTGCTGTTTGTTGCTTTTCAGTGTTTATGGTTTGTATTTTGATTTTTGTTTGTTTTCTCAGCGTGCCTGCCATAGATATGGTGGAAATCTGGCCTCCGTCCACAACAAAGGTGAATTCACTTTCCTCCAGAAGCTGATCAGATTTGAGAAAGGATCGTACCAGAGGACCTGGCTCGGAGGCCATGATGCTGAGAAGGTCAGTTTTTTCTTTTTATTAAATTTTTTGGTAGTGAGGGATGGTTAGAGCAAATTGTTTGCTTTGTACCCAGAGGAGCTGGGAAAAGTGGCAGAGAGAGGGAAATCTGGGTCTCCGACCTCTGACCAGATAAGCAAAGGATCGATGGACGGATGAATGGATCTTGCAATAAAATATTAAAATTGTCTTTGCATAAACCACCTGTGCTGGTGGATTTTATTTAGATGATCTTTGGGGATGTAAAATTATTCCTGGTTACAAAATGTCCCCTGAGGTGAACTTTGGACACCTTATATACCCTCAGAGATGGACAGCTGCAGTCCTCAGTGTGCTGGAACCTAATAATAAAATGCATGTATCATAAACTATGTGCTTAAAAACCACTTGGTTTCAGGAGGGTGTGTGGCTGTGGAGTGATGGGTCGAGGTTCAGCTTCACCCAGTGGGGCACAGGAGAACCAAACAACCTTGGTGGAAATGAACACTGCATGGAGATCTACGAGCTAGGTGAGCATTCTGAAACTCTGAGAACAGAGCTAACGATGCTATGCAGCATATAGCTACTAATTAGTTAATCTGATGATTTTAATAAATCTTAGGACCTTCTGGGTTTGTATCCCAAACAGATTCAACAGCTGCTGAAATATTTATTTTATATTATTATTATTATTATTATTATTATCATCATCATAATTATTATCATTATTTCTCTTCAGGAGACATGAATGATGCACCATGCACCACAAGGAGTTACTCCATCTGTGCCAAAAGACGCTAACTCCTCTTTCCTCTTCCTGAGAAATCCAACATGACCATGTGACCTTCTCACTGGTGATGTCACTTCCTCCAGGATGTCAGGCCTCGATGGCGTCGCTGCTGGAAGATACAAGGATAAAATCTTTTTTCAAATAAATCTGTTGCATCAATAAACTTTTTTGTCATATCAGTTTATTTTTTGGAAAAAGATAATAAACTTTAGAGTAAAATACAATTAATAGAGGAAATAAATCTGTCTGTAAACCTCCATGGTAACGTCAAACAAGTGAAATCATGACCCATCAGAGACCAGATGCTTGAGCCACCAGGTTCCCAAAGTTTGGAAGATACTTTAAAATCCTTTGACTTGTACTCCCAACGCCATCCTACTCTGTAAACTATTAAGAAATGTAAAAAATAAAATGATAAAATGGACCTAAACAGAGGGCAAGATAACAGCCTTAACTGAGTGAGTAACAAAAATAACTTGAGCACAAATTGACCTCACAGCAAGACATAAAGGAAACTTTAGAGGCTTATCAGACCACTGCTGACACACAAGGGATCAATCAATCAACTTTATTTGTATTAAAGCTAAATTCAGAAACAAGGCAGTTCAAAGTGTTTTACATCATAAAAACACAAAAATAAAAGATCATAAAACACCATACAGTGACAATGGAGAAACCAGGAACAGGCATTACATTCTCAGTGCCATTTTCTTCTGCTTATCCGGGGTCGGGTCGCGGGGTCAGCAGCCTAACAAGGGCGGCCCAGACTTCCCTCTCCCAGCCTCTCCTTCCAGCTCCTCCACGGGAATCCCAAGGCGTTCCCAGGCCGGCAGGGAGACATCGTCCCTCTGGCGTGTCCTTGTCTTCCCCTCCTCCCGGTGGGACGTGAACTCCTCACCAGGCAGGCGTCCAGGAGGCATCCTGACCAGAGTCCCAGCCTCAACTGGCTCCTCTCGATGTGGAGGAGCAGCGGATCTACTCTGAGTCCCTCTGGATGGCAGAGCTTTTCTCTCTGAGGGAGAATCCAGACACCAGTAATCAGTCACATAATCAGCGCTGTGGATGTAACTCTTAAATATATTTTCTTCCTGATCAAAATAAAAAAAAACAAGATGATAAGTCACTGGCCGAAGTAGGATGTTCACATAAATGTGTTTATTTTAGGGTTAATTGGTGTGTATGTGTCTTGTTTTTCGTTTTATTTTGAATTACTGTTCCTTGCGAAAGTATTCGAACCCCTTGAACTTTTCAATCTATTGCCGCTTTTCAGGCTTCAAACATAACGATCTAAAACATTATTTTGTGAAGCATCAATAAAAAGTGGGACACAATTCTCAGATGGAATTACATTTAATGGATATTTTAAACTTTTCACAATAAAAAACTGCAAAGTGAAGCATGAAATATTATTCTGCCCTTTACTTTCAGTGCAGCAAACTCACTCCAGAGCAGTGATTCTCAATTATTGACTGTTTAAACGTCCTGAAGGTGTCGCGTCTGGTTGGCGGCCATCTTGATCTGATCCAGATGATTTTTTGGCAGCATTCTCACAGACATTCAACCAACTTCCTCCACATGTTCCTTCCTGTTCAGACTGGAAACAGTTTTTAAACCGTCCTCATAATTTGGAAGGAGTTTGTCAAAGTTTTCACCCCATCAGGCTGTTTGTAGCGAACAAAGGCAAACTGAGCAAAATGTAAATGCAAGTCAGGTTTATTGACAAAAGTTGGATGAAGATTGGGAAGAAAAACAAATAAAATGTAAAGAAAACTAGAAGACACTGAAGAGAGATGAAGCTCTCATCAGAATAACAATGAGCATCCGGCCAAATTCTTTCACTGGAAAACAATTCCACGTGTTCCACATTTTATTTCATCTTTACGAGAAGGAAGGATAAGTTTTCAGCATTCCTCTGGCGATAAAAGACCGGTTCTTCTGTCTGGTATGATTCTGTCTGCATCAGGATTCACTGCAGCAAAGGAAGCATCCAGCTCTTCATTACTGTCTGTTGTTTTAACCAAGTTTATCCAAGTTGCTTCTGGGTATCAAAAGCTGTAATCTATTGTTTTCCTCACAGATGGCTTCAGGTTTTCAGCTGGTGTTGATCCTGGGCTTCATCATGATGACTGCTGAAGCTGTGAGTTATTTAATGCTGAGATGTTTTTATTTATCCATAACCTGCAACATGAGCCAGGTTATAAAATCTAAAGTGAATCTAACGTCCATATTCCACTGCTCTGTCTGATCTTGGCTTGTTTTATCAGATGAAAACTAAAATACACAAAGAAAAGTGAATATAAGGAAGCAGGATTCCCAAAGAGCTTCCAGAAAACGTCCAGAGAGCTTAGAAACCTGAAACTGTCACAGTGACAGACAGCAGAGACTGTAAATAATCAGTTTCATCTCTTGGCTTTAACTCCAGACTAATAGATGAATAATGACAAAATGCAGAAGGTTTTTACAGTTTGTCACCAGAATCTGAGGACACTGTTAAACCCAGAGGAAGAAGAAGTCGGTTATCATCAGAATGTCTTTGTGTTCACAGGATCCGGTTCCAGACCTGGCAGGTTGGTCATTATTTCTGTAAAACTTTAGAGGTTTGTTAAAGGGGGCAGAAGATGTTACACAGGTAAAGAAAAGCTATGAATAAACCCATCTGTGTTATAGATAAATATTCTTTGTGACAGCTTTGGAAGCTATTTGGGTTTTTTCTCTTATAAGGAAGATGTGACAGCTGAAGTCTTGGAGCGTCTCCCTGCTGCACAGTGCAGCGTTTCCTCCACGTGTTATTGATCGTGGCGCAGGGCAGAATAAACACCTGCAGAATGACGTTATTTGTTTAGTTACATTTTTTTGAACTTTGGCCTCCTGCACTGTCACAGCGTCTGCTGTGTTCCTCCCAGGTTTCACTCAAACTGTAAGATCTGCAAGAAGCTCTCGCTGCAGTGAAAACAGTCCCAAAGCATCTGTGTGTGTGTGTGTGTGTGCGTGTGTGTGTGTGTGTGTGTGTGTGTGTGTGTGTGTGTGTGTGTGTGTGTGTGTGTGTGTGTGTGTGTGTGTGTGTGGTGTGTGTGTGGTATACTGGAAGGTATCAAATCCTGCAATAAATGATGTTTCAATAATTACTTTCAGTTGATCAAAAGCTGCCTGGCAGGTTTTTGCTCTAACGTTTCGTGTCTGTTGGAGGGAAAGTGGAGGTGGAACGACGGGTCAAAGTTTGACTATTCTAGCTTTTCTGTCTGTCAGCCTGACAATTATTACCATGCAGAACACTGTCTGGAAATTAACTTCTATGGAAAAGGTAAGCCCATTTTTAATTTGTTTATTTAGTTTATGAATGAAACTAAGTGTTCTATGTAAAACAGGGTTTCAGTCTGTCTTTTAACAACACAGGCTGAACCCCTGTGTTGTTAAAAGTTACATGTAATTAATAAGCAATAAAACAAATGTCAAAGAATCAGATGTTTGTGCTTTTTTCTCCTAACAGTGAACCAGTGGAACGACGCCCCCTGTCACCAGTCATGGCCATTTATTTGTGACAAAAATATGTGAAGCCTCCAACCATCTGCTGAAAATCATCTCTGCTTAATTTCTGCTCAGTTTGAACAAATTTCAGGTGAACACACAGCTGAGCTGCTGTGATACTAATTCTGTTTTTGGTGGGATTTCTTTGGGATTAATGGGATTTTAATTCTTTGAAATAAAAAAGTAACATTATAAACAAACTGACTTAATGATCTTTATGCTGTCAAATATTTTTACTTCATTAAATATTTTTACTTCATTAAGTAATATTTTTACTTCATTAAAGAGATCTTCATCCTGAAGATCTCTTCAGGATCTTCTCTCATGTAGAGAGAAGATCCTGAAGAGAAATAATAATAATATAAAATAAATATTTCAGCAGCTGTTGAATCTGTTGGGATACAAACCCAGAAGGTCCTAAGATTTATTAAAATCATCAGATTAACTAATTAGTAGCTATATGCTGCGTAGCATCGTTAGCTCTGTTCTCAGAGTTTCAGAACGCTCACCACGAAGGTTGATCTCCATGCAGTGTTCATTTCCACCAAGGTTGTTTGGTTCTCCTGTGCCCCACTGGGTGAAGCTGAACCTCATGTGCAGGCAAACTTCATGTTTGCCTGCACATGATTATTTTAGCCTCATTTTCAAATTCAGTATCAAGTTTATTTTCCGTACCTTGAAAAGTGCTGAAATGCTTTACAGTCAACATGCCATGCAAATTGTTTTGAAGAAGAATCAGTCAGAAGCTTCCAGGAGTAAAAACACAATGAAAACATGGATTTTATGATCCGCTGGAACCAAACAAGAAGTTAAAAATCAGTTCAAAGTGAAGCTTTCAACCTGGTGAAAAGTTTAAGCCCCATCCTCACAACCCAACAAATCTGCACAAAAATTTCAAATTTCCCACAGAAATATAAAGATAAACTCTAAATAACGTATTTAGAGAGTTTTTAGTTGCACTGTAAGCAAATGTTTATTCATCCCTTTTTTCTTCTTCTCCACCAGTAAAACAAGTGGATCTGTCAGGTTCTGTGTTTTTCTGTGTTTAATTCTGAGTTTCTGTGTCCTGAGTCTCCTCCTTGTCCTGTCTTCCCCTTGATTGTTCCCAGGTGTGTCTCGTTCCCCTGATTACCCTCAGTGTATTTAGTCCCTCCTGTGTCCTTTGTTCCTGGTCGGGTCCTTGTCCTTGTTTGTCGTAAGTTGTCGCAGTTTGTCGCTAGTTTGTTTTGTGCCGCCCTTAAGACCAGTTGCTACCGTTGTGAGCCTGGCTTCTGCTCAGCCGTGCTGCCTGGCCGCAGACTATTGTTTGGACTGTTTTTCTGGACTGTTTCATTAAAATTATCCACTATTCACTTACCTGGGTCTCCAGCGTGCTGCCTCACCAACTCACCTCCACCACCACTCCATGACAATAAATATATAATATTACTGATTTTATTCTAAGTATCTTCCAAACTTTGGGAACCTGGTGGCTCAAGCATCTGGTCTCTGATGGGTCATGATTTCACTTGTTTGACGTTACCATGGAGGTTCACAGACAGATTTATTTCCTCTATTAATTGTATTTTACTCTAACGTTTATCTTTTTCCAAAGAAATAAACTGACATGACAAAAAAGTTTATTGATGCAACAGATTT